CCCATCCACCTCGACGCTCCCGCCGCCGGGTCGCTCCCCGCCGCCGCCCGAGTGGCCCTGCGCCCGCTGCACGCTCCGCAACCCGCTGAGCGCCGCCGCCTGCGCCGCGTGCGACGCCGCGCGCCCCGTGGACGTCGACGACGTGTCGCCGGGCCATTCCGCCGTCGTCGCCTCTTCGTCGTCCCGCCCGCTCCCGCCGGCCCAGTGGTCCTGCGCCCGCTGCACGCTCCTCAACCCCGGGAGCTCCGCCGCCTGCGCCGTCTGCGGCGCCCCGCGCCCCGTGGTCGTTGACGACGGCGACGAGCTGGACTTCTCCGCCGTCGCCGGCGCCTCGTTCCTCCCGCTCCGTCGGGACCCGAGGAACATAGGCCGCTCTTATGCCGCGATGAAGGTAGCTCGCGCGCCGTCGCCGGACACTGTCTGCGAGGGCGCCGGCTCGAACGAAAGGGATAAGACTGCTGCCGAAAAAGGTTCATCTAGGGTTATATATATTTTTTGCTTATTCTGTATGCAAAATAATCTTTACTTTGAGTTCCCTATCAAGATTCTTCTACAGTATCTAGGACTGAATTAAAAAGGGTTATTTTGATTTTGTGTGCTTTTTAAAAATAAATATTGGAGTTCTTCTAGCTATTGAATGTGCAAAAACCGATTCTCCGTTGTGTTCTCCTCATCGATGCTGTCTTTTTATCTGAATCTTTTCAAATGTTATTTTGTAACAATGGATCTTTCTTGTTTTTGGATGAAATGTTGGGATCTTATACAAATTTCATTCTGACACATCTTAAATCACGACAAGTTAACTATAGTGAGGTAAAAGAGAGTAATGCTCCTGATTGCCCTTAAATTGTTTGTTAACACAGTTGGATACCTATGGTACAATCAACCTGAGTAATTAGGAGCGAGTAATAATGCTAATGGCATATGTAAATGGGTTTAAATTCCCAAGTCAGATGGCCACAGATAGAATTTCAAAACATGGTAAACTAAAAGGGCAACCTGGTGCATGTAGCTCCCGCTTGCGCAGGGTCCAGGGAAGGGTCCGACCACTTTGGGTCTATAGTACGCAGCCTTTCCCTACATTTCTGTAAGAGGCTGTTTCCAGGACTTGAACCCATGACCTCATGATCACAAGGCAGCAGCTTTACCACTGCGCCAAGGCTCCCCTTCTCAAAACATGGTAAACTATATGAGAAAATTGATGTGCTATGGCGAGAGATATATCTGATCTTCACTGTGTTTGAGGCTTTAGCATGGTTGCTAAGTAGTACTCCCCTCTGTAAACTTTTATAAGACATTTTAGGTCAAACGTCTTATAAAAGTGCATCTTATAATACGTCTTATAAAAGTTTACAGAGGGAGTACAACATAGAGCTTGCAGTTTCTGCCTAAATGTATTACTTTTTCATGCAAAATAATGTCACTTTGTTATGTCAAATTTCTTCTACAATATGACCTTCTCCATGCAATAATATTTCCTTTGGTTTATCTAGGGTGCTCTAGGAAGAGAGGCCACGCAGCAATATCAGACATCGTACACGAGGGCGACGGCTCGAACAAAAGGGGTGAGACGTCCACTGAAAAAGGTTTTTCTAGGGTTAAAGTAAAAAAGGATTATTTTGATTTTGTATGTTTTTTGACAAATTAAGTACTGGAGTTTTTCTGCTTATCTATAAGAAGAGTAAATGCTCCTGATTGACCTCATATTGTTTCATAATGGACTCGAGTAAACTATTTTAAAGTCAAGCTGTATAAATTCCCATGTCAAATGGGCACATATGGAATTTCACAACATAGTAAACTACCTAAGAAAATCGATGTACAATGACGAGGGATATATTGGTATTCGATTTTTGCTCCAATTTGTGTTCACTTGAATTGTATTTGAGCCTTTACCATGGTTACTAATTAGTACTCCCTCCGTCCCAAATTACTTGTCTTAGATTTGTCTAGATACGGATGTATCTAACACTTTTTTAGTGTTAATAAGTTTAAGATATATTCGTATCTAGATAAATCTAAGACAAGTAATTTGGGATGGAGGTAATACAACACAGGGTTTGCAGTTTCTGCTTAATGTTTTACTTTTTTATATAAGATAAGCTTGACTTCCTTCTCAAATTTATTCTGCAGCATGACCTTGTCTGTGCAATAATATTTACTTCATTTATCTAGAGTGCTCAAGGAAGAGAGGCTGCGTGGCGTCACCAGACATCGTCCATGAGGACGCCGGCTCCAATGAAAGGGATGAGACAACCACCGAAAAAGGTTTATCTAGGGTTAAAGTAAAATGGATTTATTTATTTTGGTATGCCTTTTCTGAATGAAGTACTGGAGTTTTCTAGTTGTTGAATGTGCAAAAATCGCTCCTCTACTACGTCTCTCCCTATAACGCATGGGTACATCAATATGGATACGGACACTGCGATACGTCATTTTTTCAAAAACACAGATACGTCGGTACGCTTGTATATATATAATATTACCTCCCTCCCAAAAAGATTGCCTTCGATTTATCTAGATACGGATGTATCTAACACTAAATGTATCTAGACAAATCTAAGACAAGGTTTTTGGGACGAGGGAGTAAATATTAAAAATATATAGAAATTGGTGTTTTTTATACGGCAATTCGTAAAAGTGACAATTTCGGGTTGCATTTGGAGGTATCACGTGAGCAGCACTCAACATTTGAACTGCATTGACCAGGAGCTGTGGCAGTGCTCAGAATGGGTGATGGAGCAGCAGCGTCATGGAGCTCTCCTTCTCTGGTGTGGCCGCGCTCAGAACAGGGAAGAGAGCAGCGGCGGGCTGGCGATGGCTGGCCTTCCTTACCTGTTTAGCGGTGGCACCAGCTCAGGTCGGGTTGGAGGCAGAATTAGGAGAGGAGGGAGGAGGGTGTCGTGGGTAGGGATAGTGGGATTTAGGACCCCTCAAAAAAAATAGTGGGGTTTAGGGTTTTCCTGTCTTCGGCAGGTATCCCATGGGTATCCCACAGGTATCTGAACTAATTTATTTTTTTGGAAAAGGGAAAATAGATGGATACATATCCGTTATGTTCCTGCAGGTATTTGGACATATCTGATGCGTACAAACGCCATGCCAGTTTCCAGAAGTATCCACGTAATCTAGGTCTCTCCTGATTCATCTTCTTTTCATCCGAATCTGTTCAAATGTTATATTGCAACATTGGACTTTCCCCCCTCTTTTTTTGATTTTCGGATAAAATTTTGGGATGCTACACAACTTTCAGTGCCACCCATCTTATTTCATGGCAAGTTATCTATAATTAGTGAGATAAAGGAAAAATAAGCATCCCAATTGCCCTCACATTGTTTGTTAACAGACTTGGATAAACTACGGCAAATCAACATGAGAGTAATTAGGAACGGGTAATAATGTCAGATGGCCACATATGGAATTTCACAATATGGTAAACTACCTAAGAAATGACAAGAGATATTTTATTATTTTGCTCTAATTGTTGTCATCTTTATTTTGTTTGAGGCTTTAGGACGATTGCTAAGTAGTACACCATAGAGCTTGCAGTTTTCGCCTAAATGCTATTACTTTTTCTTTGTCTGTCAATGTCAAATCTCTTCTAGAATATGACCTTGTCCATGCACTAATCTTTCCTTTGGTTTACCTAGGGTGCTCGAGGAAGATAGGCCGCTTGACGTCGCCAGCCATTGTCCACGAGGGTGGCGGCTCAAATGAAAGGGATGAGCCAACTGCCAAAAAAGGTATATCTAGGGTTAAAATAAAAAAAGGGCTATTGTAAATTTGTATGTTTTTAAAAATTAAATACTGGAGGTTTTAGTTGTTGAATGTGGAAGAATTGCTTCTGTATTACGTCTCCCCTGATTGATGGTGTCCTTCCTTCTGAATCTGTTCAAATGTACTCCCTCCGTCCCATATTAATAGTCATTCATCCGTTTGAACGACAATTAATATGGGACGGAGGGAGTAGTATATTGCCCACAGACTGATGCTGAGTAGCTCTATATAGTCTGTTTCCTGTTATGCTGAATACTCCCTCCGTTCCCAAATATAAGTCTTTCTAGAGATTCCACCAAGTGACTACATACGGAGCAAAATGAGTGAATCTACACTCTAAAATATGTCTACATACATCCGTATGTTGTATTCCATTTGAAATGTCTAAAAGGACTTATATTTAGGAACGGAGGGAGTATAATTCAGCATGAATGCATGATCCCTTTAAAAGTCACTAACAGATTTATCTTAGATATCATATGTTCTTTGTCTTGAAACCCAGCATGAACTTATCTTGAAACCAGTGAACCCTTCTATGTTGTTGGTCTAAATTGATGAAGAAAACAAATATTTCTAGCTACTTTATGCAGGTTATTAGAGGCTAAATATTTATAATGCTTTCCACAGTAAATTCTGAGACTCATTTGGATAAGAAGACCATCAAAGTCATGACATACAACGTATGGTTTCGGGAGGATTTGGAACTGACGAAAAGGATGTATGCTCTTGGAAATCTTATTCAGCACCACAACCCAGATCTTATATGCTTCCAGGTCCAGAGTTTTTCAGTTTGAACTTATTGTTATTTCTTTTCCCCTTCTCAATTTCCCTGTGTAACTGCAGGAGGTTACACCAAACATATATATGCTTCTCCAAAAATCTGGCTGGTGGCAAGAATACAAATGCTCGCTGTCAGCTAGGATGGCCATGCAGAGACAATATTACTGCATGCAGGTATTCACTGTGCTTCTCGCAAACTTCATATATGGGATGAGTGCAAGCATATGTGAATTTTGATTTACTCATCTTCTTCTACAGTTTACATGCAACTGTTAATTTTTAATCTCCATTAAAATAAAGTGTGCCTTTTATATTATATGGCCACCAAGATGCACATATGACCAATCTGTTTATATAATGCCATGTAAAGCGCTACTGCTCTCAAACATTCTATTGCTCCTCTTTGCAGCTTTAGAGCATGTATCCTCTTATCATTTCATTCATGTATTTCAGTAATGTGATTCGATTGCAATAAGTGCAGATGAGCAAGTTGCCTGTGAATTCTTTCGAATGCATCCCATTTTCCAACTCAGTCATGGAAAGGGAGCTGTGCGTGGCAGACATCAACATTGGAGGCGCTACCAAGTTGGTGTTGGCCACAAGCCACCTGGAGAGCCCCTGCGCGTGGAATCAGATGTACAGCAAGGAACGAGTAACTCAGGCGAATGCATCCATGAGGATATTGGACAAGTTCTGCAACGTGATATTCTGCGGAGACATGAACTGGGACGACAAAGGCGACGGGCCATTCCCTCTCTCAGACGGCTGGGTCGATGCCTGGGCCGAGCTCAAGCCAGGCGAGGACGGCTGGACGTACGACACGAGGGCCAACGGCATGCTGGCAGGCAACCGCAAGCTGCAGAAGAGGCTGGACCGGTTCGTGTGCAAGCTGCCGGATTTCGAGATCGACACCATCGAGATGATCGGGAAGGAGGCGATACCTGGGATATCACACTACAAGGAGAAGACAGTCCGCAAGGTAGTCCAGAACATTGAGTATCCTGTGTTACCTAGTGACCACTTCGGGCTTGTTCTGAGCATCACCCACGCTTCATCAGGTTGAAAAGTATGGTGTAAAAACGTTCCCTAGTAGTAGTAAGTGGTGGTGAATTTTGTAGCCCAATGGAAAGTAGTATCTCTACCCCTGGTTGAGAAGAAATAACTTGAGTTAGAGACTGTTTCTGTCTCCTACTGTTTACTTCAGTTACTGGGGAAACGTTCTCTCTTTATCGTCCAATTTTTGTTTTGCATGACAGTGCCCAAGCAGGGGCTGCCTCCAGCAGCGGCTGGCCGTGTCACGCAAAATATGAAACGAAAGCATTACCTCGATGCTGGTATGAAACCCTAGTTCATCGATGTTCTTCGCTTGGTTCCAACTGTGGATACCGTGCCAACAATTTAAGCTTGCAGCTGCAATAGTAATTCTGCCTTCTGCTTTGTTTGGGGTTCTTGTATCTTGCTCCGATTCCCTCATTTCTTGGTTCCATGCATGTATCTGTGATGATCTTTGGGTTGGAGTAGAACTAGGAAAATATGCTGAGAACCGAGACAAGACCAGACAGGAGATTACTGCCAAGATAGAGGGTGGATTGGGACTGTGTTTTTGTAAAGGCTAAAACAACCATTTTTTTCTTTTCTTATATTGTGTTGATGAAGCAAAGATCTCTCTTGTATTTGGGTTGGAGGAGTGGACGTATAAACCCAACACCTGGGTTCAAATCCTCATGAAGACGAATTTTGATTCCTATTTATTTTTGAGGACCAGACTTTTCTTGTACTCACGCATTTACTGAGGAAGGCTTGGTGCGTAATTGAGACTAAAAATCCTACTGCTCACACTTAAAAGCTTGTGTGCATCCCTAGTTGGTGCAGAGTCCCGGGAAGGCCAATTTTAAGGTAAATAATCGATCGCATCTGAGCCCCCGCGTCGTCCCCCTGCGGGCAACTCGGGCGGCAGCGCGCACCTCCCTCCCCTCCCCTCCTCCTTGCCCTTCCCCACCCTCACCGCCAGCCAGAGTCACCGGGGCAAAGCCCCTCGCGATGGCCGGTGGCGGGGCCCCTTTTCTTCGTTGCTCGGGGGTTGGCTGATGCGGGCGGCCTGTCCAGGCTGCGGCGTCATGCAAGCGCGGGGCTCGGCTGGACATTGGCGGAGGCTCACCGCGACTACTTCCTTGCGGCATTGCATGGGCACAGTTCGGCGGCGGCGGCGACGCCCGGCCTAGATCCCGGGGTGGCAGCCCTGGAAGGCGGCGGCAGGTGAAACTCGGGCTCCCCGCGGCGGCATGGCGTGGTGCTGTCCCTGTCCAAGGCGGATCTGCACCGGCGATTTAGTGGCTTTGGCTCTGGATTGGTTTAGATCAGAGATGGTGACGAGCGCGCGGGGTTCGTCTCGGCGGCTCTCGCGGTTTGGTGAGGTGGGATGGCAGCCCACCTCTCAGGCTCAAGTGGTGGCACAGACATGCAGTGGCCGGTATGCTAGGGCTCCCATGGTGGCAGTGCTGGCGTGGATGGCTACCGGATCTGGGCGGCTAGATCTGGGGCTTTGAAGGCGGTCTGGATGGTGCATAGGTTTCCGGGTCGATGTTCTTGGGACAGATCCGGGTGAAAACCTAGTCTTCCGCCGGTGGCTGGAGCCGGTGATGCTGACACCCTTGGCGTCGTTTCCTTCATGAAGGCATCATCAAGGTGAAACTCCCTACTCCCCCCGCTACCTCTGGGGGAAACTTGATCAGTTGATCGGATGATGGCGGCGCTTTTGTGTCCTTCCCTCCTTGAGGGCGTCATTCTTGGAGGTGTGCATTGGGACCAGTGGACGGTTTGCGATGGAGCGGCGTCTCATGTCACGCATCGACGATATGGAGTCTCGGCGGCGTGGCGCAGCAGGGTTTCGGTGAAGGATGTATGATGATGGACGCGTGTAGGAAGGTGACGTTGTCTGGTGCCGTGGTGGCGTCGACGGTAGGTCTGTCAAGGTTAATGCGTCAGTACCCGCTCTAAAGATGGTTCGGTGGACGACGGTAGCGGCGGCCTCTGAGAGTACGCCGGACCAGTATGTGCCCTAGACCCAGTAATGCTGCTTGGTTGGGGCCTCCGGCTTTAGATATTATTAGGCTTTGGTGCGAGGTCTGTTTGGTATTCGATTCGGACAATTGGCACCCCTTCATCAAGTGGATAGGAGTAGCGACAGATGTTGCCAAGATGATGGCTTCAGAATTACTGATGTATTACTTTGTAAGGTCTTTGTGAATAATCAATAAAATGGCTTCATGCGTCGCCCAGATGTAGAGGTCGGGGATCATCCTTTAAAAAAACTTGGGTTGGAGAAGAGTCAGAGAACGCAGAAGAGTCCATCTGCTATGATTTTTTTTCACTGCCAATACATTTACTCCCTCCTTTTCAAATTACTTGTCGCAAAAGAAATGTATTTAAACGTATTTTTAATTCTAAATACATTTATTTCTATCCATTTTTACAACAAGTAATTTGTGACAGAGGGAGTACTTGTTTATATCCCTGCGTGTAACATTTCTAAGCATTTATTTGAGGCCCTTCTCTTTATGAAATCCGAGAAAGAAGGGTAAAAAGTAATACTCCCTCTGTAAACTAATATAAGAGCATTTAGATCGGAAAGTACACAGGAGTTCTCGGGTGCTCCGCACCCCTATACGAAAAATATTCGTAAAAAAATCTCAGAAAATAAAAAAAAATCCAAGATTTCGGGATGTCAAACCTGATTTCCCAATCTACTTCCGTGTGAAATTTCATGAAAAATACCAAAAAGCGTATCCGTGGTAAATGAATTACTGCCTGGAAAAAAATGTAGCCAAACAGTGTTTTGCTATACATTAGGAATTTTTTGTCTTTTTGCCGCGAATATGTTTCCTGATATTTTTTCATCAAATTTCGGACGGAAGTACATCGGGAACCTACATTTGATATCCCAAAATCCTAGATTTTTTTTTTTTAAATTTCTCGGTATTTTTTTCCTAGTATTGTATGTATAGGGGTGCGGAGCACCCGAGAGCTCTAAATCCTCGTCCCTAGATCACTACTTTAGTATTCTAAACACTCTTATATTAGTTTACGGAGGGAGTATCATCTAAGGCGTGATGGGTTTACAACACACAAAATTCCCACCTACTTATCCTTTATCCTGACCATAGTGGAATGGCATGTACTGCAATTCCACCTCCGTTCTATCCCTTCTTTTCAAAATATTTGAAGTTTTTGGTTTGTCCTAAGTCAAACTTATTTAAGTTTAATCAAGTTTATTGAAAAACATACCAACATCTACAACACCAAATCAACTTCATTATATTCTTTTTTTGCGGGTAACTTCATTAGATTCATCATAACATATACTTTCGTACTATATGTGATATTGTAAATATTAGAAAAAACAATCCATGAAGTTGTCAAACTTAAAAGTTTTACTTACGACAAACCTAGAACTGCAAAAGATTTAGACGAAGGATGTATAATAAACATTAATTATGTACGTGAAAAAATAAATAAGAATACAACACTTGTGTGGAGCAACACGGCAGGTGAACACAACATTAGAAGAAAACATGTATGGTGCTAAACTGGTGAACATGTACAACTGCAACATGATCTGTAAGATTTTGTCAACTCTTATGAACACGCCATCAAAAAAGAATTGTCATTATGGATGCATAGATCTACATCCATGTAGTTAAAATTCAAAAAAAAAACCACGTAGTTACCTACTTTCATTTGGAAAGCGAGGGGATTGATATGGGTGGTTTTGATGCATTTTGCATATTATGTGATCCAGACAATGGTCACACGAAAAGACAATTCTTAGAAAGTTTTGCATCAACACACAAATGGAAAGGGAATACAAGCTAATTCTTGAAAAACATGAACATGGATGGAAAAAGAACTGAAACCGGGATACAAAGCCAAGATCGCACACACATATATATGTTGGTCATGAAACAAAGTTAAATGATTTGTTTAGGGCACATCTAGATGTGCTCTAGTTAGAATGGTGCTATGCACATGATAGAATTCACACAATTCACGAACGCCAGTTAAATCCAGCCGGACATGAGTATGATTGACAAGGGCACCGGCCGTTGGATTTACCAGTCGTGCAAAGATCGGACACAACTATCGTTCATGGAGCAGTTTTGCTCTAAATATTGCACATCTAAGTGACTCACTCAAATTAGAAAGAAAAGGAAAATAGACTAATGAAAATGCTTACACGAATCTTCATGTAAAATTAATGGCATAGGACTTATATATGCAATACTTAGGGCACATCTACATGTGCTTTAGCAAAACTGTTAAACAACATCCCGAATGACACTTGTTGACGAAAGAGGAAGGAAAGTGGGCAAAAATGCCCAAGAAGTAAAATACCACATTGGTCATTAGGCTAACTAATTGGTAGTGTTGACAAACCGCCCACTGGACATGGCAATGGACCCTCCTAATCTTAGAAAGGTGCCAGGCTTGAAACTCTTGATTTACCGCTTTGAGAAAGGTTGATCGGTTAGTCAAATAATTTTTCTTTTGACCCAGGAACCGTAGAACAATTGTTTCACAGTAATTTTATATTAATACTAATGTACAAAATATATGGAAAGTGGAAAGTTAAATAAAGGAAAGTTATCCAATTCCTTTTCTAGGCCACATGGAAAAATGAAGTGAACCGTAAACTGTATGGTTCACAGGTTAACCGTGTACCAATTCTTTAATAGTTCGGCCTTTTGATATTTCATACGCATCACAGTGATATTCAGACATTCTTCAAGATATTGTCTCCAACCATTGATATCTTCAACAACATTTCTGAATATGTTATCTTCCATTGAGTCCAAATACTCCAGCATCCCATGATGGTTAGTCAAAGAATTGTAGATGACAATTACTAAGCAGAAGTAAACAAAAAAGTGAAACCAACAAAACAATGGATCGGACTAGAAGGGGTTGGGGTGGGGGTGAATGGTCCTAACAAAAAATTCTACTCCAAAATCTAGTTGGCAAGGTTAGCCATTTGTACTTGGAATCTTAGGAACACCTAAACGTGCA